GTACTCGGCACGAGAAACCCGGACTGCGCGCCCTGCTTGTTGGACGAGGTACTCGCGGCGCTCTTATGGTAGCACGTCCCGCCGCTCTGGCTCGTCCAGACGTAGAGGACACACCCCGGCGTCGCCGCGCAGTCGTTGCAGCAGTTGGCGGGGTTGGTCTGGGCCGTCGACTTGATGTCGTTGCCGAAATAGTCGGTGTCGGACTGGATGGGGGAGCACGTCGCGGCGCCGGCGGCGCCGATGTAGGCGGCCGAGAGCGAGAGCAGAAGCGCTGCGTAGGACCCGAAGCTGCGCATGGCGTGTCGGATTCAAATGTGAGCCGCTTCGTGTCGGCTCGTACAGGAAACCTCTCGCGGTTTGTATGCACATACTAACCCAAAGACAAGACCATATTTCGAAGGGCCCAACGGTCGAGGCTAGGGTTACGCGTCTCCTGCTTCCCGACCAGCCTGCCCTTCGACGCGATACCAGCTTGACTATCGACGCGACTAAAATTTGACGCCAGCCGCAGGCAACCTTTGGCGATCTCGTCCGCTGTGCCAGTAGCGCGGCTCAGGTCCCTCTTTGAGTCGTCGTCTCAGCCTCGAGAAACCAGAGCGTGCAGAGCTGGGCAAGTGCTGCGAAGCCCGTCACGCCCAAGGCGAGCAAGCGGGGAATGCCGGCTGTGGACGTCGCTGATGCACCACGGAAGTATGTGCTGGTGCGCCGTGAGCATCGACCAGAATGTGTCGTTTAGCAGCACCACCCGCCATGTCGTTCAGCTACTCCACGACATGATGATTGGATGCTTTTGCCCAGTTTGAACGAATTAGATTCGTTTGAAGGGAGCTTTTTAGCCAATCAAAACATGCACCAACCAAGCTCCGGTTCAAGCGCGCAGGTAGGATTGAGTAGCTAGCTTCCTCCATGTACGAGCTCCCGCCAAGGCTACTGTTGTACTAGCAAGGGGTTGTAGCAAGTGAATGGACAGGCAAGATCTAAAAGACTAGGAGCATGCGCGTGTCAACGTCGTCTGCGCCCATGTTGCCGCGATTAGCTTTAAATGGCCCAACATTGATCGGCAGGAGGGCTCACCAAGCAGCGACGCACCAAGCGAGCCCAAGGTAAGCGTGCAGAGAACCAGTGCACAGTACGTACCTGGCGTCAGGGGCGGTGAGATGGGCGCTGCATCGACGTTCTTGCCACCACTTGCTCCCTGTGGCGAGAACGTTGCCGGGCTGGGACGCAGCATGCGTTGTCTGGGTGCATCGATATCACAGAGGTGCGTTATTTGACACTTGCCGCATGGGCTACTCGAGGCGACGCTGGGATCTCGGCAGCTACTCGCCGGAAGAAATGAAAAATATGCATTCCTACCACCAGGAATACTTGTGGTTTGTATACACATACAAACCAAAAGAAGTAACACGACCACGGGCCGCATCGCTTGCTCGCTCACTTTTCGATTCAACTCGCCAAGCGCATGAGCTTCCACGCGTCTCCGCTTCTTCTCTTCGCTCTCTTCCTCGTGGCGGTCTGGACAAGCGTCGTTGGGGCGGCGACCTGCACCACCTTTGTGGCCGACACCGACTACTTTGGCAACGACATTGCGTCCACGTCTCAGCCGACGGCCGCCAACTGCTGCAACGACTGCGCCGCGACGCCCGGCTGCATTCTGTACGTCTGGACCAACACGAACGGCGGCACGTGCTACCTCAAGAACGCCCAGGGTCCCGCGTCCAACAAG